GTCTCACCCCGAACCAAGGCAACTTTGGATGGGCATAACATACTCACCTTGCTCCTAATGTCCCTACAACAAATTCTTTCAAAATATTCAAGGGGGGAATATTCTGGGCTCAGTTTTGTTTTTATTCATTTATGGGATGTGGGTGTCACTGGCCAGGCAGCATTTATTGCCCATCCCCAATTAGGGCAATTGAAAGTCAACCACATTACTGTGGGTCTGGAGTCACATGTAGCCTAGACCAGGTAAGGATGGCAGTTTCCTTCCCTAAAGGACAGTAGTGAACCTGATGGGCTTTTCCGACAATGGACAATGGATTCACGGTCATCGTTAACGTCTTAACTCCAGCTTTTCTTTTCCCCACCACCTGCGTGGCAGAATTTGAACCCAGGAACCCCAGAACATCTCTGGATTAACAATCTAGTGATAATACCACTAGCTCATCGCCTCCTCTCAAAGCTAGTGTATATATGCTTTCTCCAGTGCACCCTGTTTCGGGTAGAACCAATGACTACTATAGTTTCCTTTGCAATGTTGACCAGTCCCTCATGATAATGCAGCGTTCTCTACTTACTGTTGCTGGATTTAAGGTCCCGGTGAATGACTGGGACAACCGCCTCATTGTGAAGGTAGTTCATTCCCCTGGCGATCTGTACTGCCCAGTTGACCAGGACATGAGGAGGGACCTTTCGGCCCGCCAGGGCTCGGTTTAAAGCCCCACCTCGGGCGTACTCCATGACCAGGCACAGATTGGGCTCCTTCAGGCAGACCCCCTTCAGCAGGATGATGTTGGGATGCCTCAGCATGCCGAACAGCCGGGCCTCCTTGCGGACGTTGTCGGCCGTGACGCTGATGTCCTCGTCGGGATCTTGCCGTGCCGCTTTGACAGCCACCTCATCCCGCCCCCAGGTGCCCTTATAGACCTTGCCGAAGCCTCCCACCCCGATGATCTCCTCCAGCAGCAGCTCGGTGAAGTCGATGACCGGGGGCAGGGGGTACTCCTCGCCGCCCTGGAAGCCGCTGTAGGCCGGGTGGCTGCTGACATAGTTGCTGGGGAAGATGCCCACTTTGTCCTGGATCTTGCCCGTCCACCAGCCCTCGTCCCCGGAGACATGCGAGTCCTTGGATAGCAGCTCCACCACGTCTCCCCGGCGGAGGGTCAGCTCCTCGTCAGCCGTGGACTCGTAGTCGAACACGGCCGTCCAGAAGCTCCGGGAGCCGGGGGCGGCAGCAGCAGCAGAGGCAGGAGGTGGTGGTGGGGGCTTAGGCAGAAGGAGCCGGCAGCCTCCAGGAGCCTGAAGGGAGGGAGACTCTTGTTGATGGTCCCCATTGCAAGTGGCAGCTTCGGCTGCTGGGGACTTGCTGTAACTCATCGCCGCTGGCTCCATCGTAGAACAGCCTGGCTTGCGCATCCATACACCAGGCTGGCCATTGAGGGCTTGCGGCTGCCTCTAATAAAAGGCTGGTGTTGCTCTCCCGGTCTCTATCGTTACAACGTCCCCGCTCAGGGCTCCTCTTTTCAAAGAGCAAATGGTTTTCCTTCCACTGTCCGCTTGGCCTTGCATCATCTCCTAAGATACCATCTCTTCCCCTCTCCACCACCAACAAGATGAGAATTCAAAAGGCCACCACTTCCGCGTTGAAATGGACCGGGTCCCCCCGCCCCCGTCACTGTGTCTGTATCAGTTTCTCTGTCACAGTCCCCCGGACTCTCAGCTGTTTCCAGCCCAAGCCGACACACGCGCGCGCGCCCGCCGGGAGTTGTAGTCTTCTTCCCCGCTCGGAGGCCGGGCTGGACCCGGCCTGAAACTACAATTCCCAGAGGGCTACACGCGTCGGCCGGACACGGGCCAGCACGGCGCCGTGAACACACCCTCTGCCCAATCGGTGCAGTTCGTTGCTTTGATTGGCGTCCCGCCCTGCGCCAATGGCGAAAGTGGGGGGCGGGTTCTATGCTGCAATGATTGAGGGGGGGAATGAACGGATGTCTATTTTGTGCCTTTAGCTGTGATATTAGACAAGAATGCTTCCAGTTTAATAGTTTACATTGCTTAACTCAATAACAAATGTATTTTTACACCTTGCGTCATTGGATTACAGACTTGATATTGTGAAAGTATCTGTCCTTGCCTTCTGTCTCCTGCAGTTTTGGGATGTAGGCAGGTTTTGGAATGTTTTCCCAGCATAACATTTGCAATGTAAAGTTGTGCTGCCCACAGTGGAAAGGCGTTTGGCAATGTGTCCCAGTGCACACAGCACAGAGCTTGGTGCAGGTTTGTTGGAGGGGGGTAATTCTAAAGTGTAGAGCAAGATTGTGCAAGACAGTGCACCTCGAGATTGACAAGAAATAATGTAGAATTATAGAGCACTGAATTAGACCAATCAGCCCAACTAGACCGTGCTATTGTTTACAATACCAGATGAACATATCTTTCCTGCACCCTAATTCATTTCACAGCAACAGCACAGCCTTCTGGCCCACATCAGCCATGGGTTGGCAAGTTACACTCTTGCTTCTGGGTCAGAAGTGTCATGACTGTGACAGGAGGAATGCGCTGACAGTCAAGCCCCCACTATTCCATCAGTTGCACAATTTGTATAAGTGTGTCGATGTGATTACCAAAATAACTGACTGATTCCCTACTTTTCCGCATCTATTCAGAATAAAACAGACTTTGACAGGACTTCTTACTGAACTCAAAATAATCCGTTTGTCAAAATACAAAACTTATTCTTAGAGCAATTGGCAAAAACTGGTTACTATCTAAATTATAATTTGGAATTAGATCTATGTCCCCTTAACCCCAACCAGACACACTCACACAACACAAAAGACAACACTCTCTGCAGAGAGAACGCAGTGTGGAGCTGGAGGAACACAGCAGGCCAGGCAGCATCAGAGGAGCAGGAAAATTGACATTTCAGGTCAGGACCCTTCTTCAGAAATCTGCAGTTCTTACTAACTCTCTGCACAGAGGATTCTTCTTGGGCAAACAACTGTTGGCGAAGAGTCTGAAAACAAAGGATACATTCTGTTGACTTCTTGCAATCCACCAGATTTCTTTTCAGCAAAATTGAATTGCTGATAGATGCAGACTGCTGGGAAATCCTCAAGTTGTAAACCAAGCTCAATCTGAGTTTATAGGACAGTCAAGAATACTGAAAATTGGAAACTTTATCAGGTTCTTAAGAGCGACTGAGAGAAGGAGAAACCGACAATTTAGGTCCTGAAGTTTTCCTCCTTACTGACCACCTAGGTTCTGTGCAAGCAGAAATTAAATCCAGAAAAAGTAACTTGGCACAGGCACCCCACAGTTTTCTCAAAGCAATGCGGGACCATTAGCCAACCTCTTAAATCTTTCAAAGCTTTATTTGTCTTTTTCTCCAAAGTCATTTGACGTTATGTAAACACCAAGTAAACCACACACACATTAAAATGTCAACTCCAGTTCCAAGAATCCATATGATTAAAAAATGGTTTTCAATGCAGAAAGTATCCAAGCAGTTCTGTAAATTCTAGTTTTTCACATTGTCTCTAAATATAAAGATGCTTTCTCAACCAAACATCCAAGTCTCACCTAAACACAAAAATCAACTGTAAACATTCCCAGTACAGTACTGATGGAATGCTATGCTCACAGAGGTGTTGCCTATCTATTAAACCAAAGTATCATTGGCTATCTCAAATTGACAAGACCACATAATCTGTTCGTTGGGTGTTGATTGAGGGATAATACTTTATTGATAAGGACAGGTAAGAACAGGTAAGAAATAGGAATAAAAACAAAGTTGCTGGAAAAGCTCAGCAGGTCTGGCAGCATCTGTGAAGCAGAAAACAGAGTTAGCGTTTCGGGTCCGGTGACCCTTCCTCAGAACCTTCCTCACTGGACCCGAAACATTAACTCTGTTTTCTCCTTCGCAGATGCTGCCAGACCTGCTGAGCTTTTCCAGCAACTTTGTTTTTGTTCCTGATTTACAGCATCTGCAGTTCTTTCGGTTTTTATTAAGAAATAGGAATAGTAGCTGGGCCTGCTCCTCTATTCAATAAAATGATAGTTCAATTGATTGTGACGCACATCTGAAAGATGGCACCTCCATAGATTCAGCACTCCTTCAGCACTGTGCTGGAGTGCCAGACTACGGTTTTGACTTCAAATTTTGAGGCACATGCTTGAACACACAATTGAGTAATGAGTCCAGTGCACAGCCGTCTGTGGCTAAAAGTGAAATCGTCAATTGAGTATGATCAGAATAAACAGAGCTAAACGCGGGACAGCAATTTTTAACTGCGCCCCCTTGATGGATGTCAGAGGTGGGGCGCTTCTCATGTAGAACAGATGTTCGCACAGGCTTTGGCAACCAATTGCAAATTGCAGAACAAAATACGTGAAATTTGACATTAAGATAAATATGAGAGTTTATAGAATGGGCTAAACCCTGGAATCTTCAACCCCTCGGGAGCAACAATGAGATACAGCAAGTATTTATGGAGCTTGCATGCCATATGGTCACAGAATACAAACAAACACTGGAGTAGGTGGAGGCCAGTCAGCCCGCAAGCCCAATCCCCCAATCAATGAGATTCTGGCTGATCTCCTTTTCCAAATTCATTTCCCGCACTACCCTGTATCCCTTCATGTCCTTAATATTTAGGAATCTATCAACCTCTCTGTTTGACATCATATACTCTGTGACTGAGCCTCCACATCCCTCTGGAATAGAGAATTCCAAAGATTTAACACCCTCTGAGTGAAGAACATTTGATCATAATTTTACTGCAGTTTGCGCAGGCGAAACGCCAAAAGCTCCAAATATTCTGCAGAGGTGTTGGTGGTGCAGAGGTGTGGACTAGTCATCCAGAACACCAGGCTGAAGAACACCATTTCTGTAGACGTGTCTAGGCCCGAAACGTCAGCCTTCCTGCTCCTCTGATGCTTCTTGGCCTGCTGTGTTCATCCAGCTCTACACCTTGTTATCTCAGAACACCAGGCTAATGTTTTGGGGCAGCACAGTGGCTTGGTGGTTAGCTCTGCTGCCTCACAGCGCCAGGGACCGAGGTTCAATTCCACCCTTAGGCAACTGTGTGGAGTTTGCACATTCTCCCCGTGTCTGCGTGTGTTTCCTCCGGGTGCTCTGGTTCTCTCTCACAGTCCAAAGATGTGCACATTAGAGTGGATTGGCCATGCTAAATTGCCCCGTAGTGTCCAGGGATGTGTACGCTAGGTGGGTTAGCCATAGGAAATGCAGGATTACAAGGGTGAGGTGGGGGGTGGGTCTGGTTGGGGTGCTCTTCAGAGGTTCAGTATTGACTCAATGGGCTGAATGGCCTGCTTCCACACTGTTGGGATTCTATGATTAACATCCCAAACCTTTTAATTCCACCTATTACGCTCTTGCCTTCAGATACAGGGGACTTTATGTGATTTCCAGGAGACCCTGACAATCCTGTCCTATTGGTTGAACCGTTATTCTTAGGCCATACCCCTTGGTTCTAGGCCAACCATCCCCCTGCCAGGAGGAAACATCCTTCCTGTATTTGCCCTGTCGTTCCCTGTAAGAACTATGTATATTTAAAATGAGATCACCTCTTGTTGTTTCTAGTTTCCAGAGAAAAGAGATCCAGTCCCTTCCACTGATTCGCTCCATGTAACCAAGCTTTGAATTTGTGAAATTCTCCTGATGCTTTAATTCCCGCACCTACAGCTGGGGGTTTCACATCTGAAACCAGAAACTCTTTTCCAATCTGTGTTGACTGCAGTTTGAACCTCTGCCCACAACCTGTTATGTTCTGAAATGCCACAACTAGCTATGAGTTATAGAATCATACACCACGCAAACAGACCCTTCAGTCCAACCAGGCCATGCCGACCATAATCCCAAACTAAACTAGTCCCACCTGCCTAAGCTTGGCCCATGTCCCTCCAAGCATTACTTATTCATGTACTTACCCAAATATCTTTTAAATGCTGTAACTGTACCTGCATCCACCACTTTCTCTGGAAGTTCATTCCACACATGAACCACTCTCTGTGTAAAAAAATTGCCCCTCATGTCTTTCTTAAATCTTTCCCCTCTCACCTTAAAAATATGCCCCCAAGTCTTGAAATCCCCCACCCTAGGGAAAAGGCAACTACCATTCACCTTACCTATACCACTCATGATTTTATAAACCTCTATAAGTTCACCTCTCACCCTCCAATACTCCAGTGAGAAAAGTCCCAGCCTATCTAGCCTCTCCTTATAACTCAAAACCTCCATACCCAGCAATATCCTGGTAAATCTCTTCTGAATCCTCTCAAACTTAATAATATCCTTACTGTAACAGGGTGACCAGAACTGGACATAACCATTGACAACCAAACTCATTTGAACCTTCCCTGCTCATCTAAATCCAAACTGGGGTATCACCTTCTCAGCCAGTGATTATTCTTAAATGTGCACCACAGGAGTGCAGGCAGACAGAAAAAAACAGCAAATTCTGGAATCCAAGGGGGACAAACAGGAGGCTGGAAGAACACAGCAGGCCAGGCAGCATCTGGAGAAAAGGAGCAGTCAACGTTTCGGGTATTACCCTACTACAGGAGGGAGAGTAGTTTGTGTTCCTGTCTTGAAATAATTTGACCTTTTGTAATGTCTCACGGCAGATGTGCAATATACCTTTAAGGGATATGATCATGAATTCATCACCATATGATAGCATGTCACCCAATGGTTAAAAAT